GGTGCACTGCCCAGGGGAGGGTGCACTGCCCAGGGGGAGGGTGCACTGCCCAGGGGGAGGTTGCACTGCACAGGGGGATGGTGCACTGCCCATACAGCTACAACCCAGACTTCAACCTTACAAAAGCAAACTCTATACCCTAATCATATGTGCCCTCATTTTAAAATGAAATAAAAAATAAATATTTTAACTCACTAGTGAATATAAAAAAGAAAGAAAGAAAGAAAAGAAAAGAAGAGAAATTTATTTAAGTTACTTAACTTATTCATTTAAGTTATCTCACTTGTCAAGGCGCAGAATAATTTCAAAGGAGATCTTAACTTACCATGGACTCTGACAAATGTCATGTTATTCTTGGTCATCAGCCCGCTTGAAGCCGAACAGGAGTACCAGCCTTGATCACCACGTGTCACACGATCTATAGTCAAGATGCTCAAAAATTTCTTCATCTCAGTCCCAATCTGGGTGTTCAGGTCTCGGATTACAGGTTTCTTGTGCTGATGATGAAAAAAGAGCTTACTGCCCTTCCAAAGCCCAGCATAACCCTACCCAATAGCTTCCAGTTACCCAAAATTAAGTGTTGGGTCCTGGTGAACATCATTCATGCTAATAATAGGAACTCCAGAAGTTTTAACATCAGGCAGACAACAAATACATTTGGTTTCAGGGGAAACAAACGGAACCATCTGAATAAGGACTTTACAGACCTTAGGCGTGAGACTGAGCTGTACACAAACTGCAGAGACACAAGCAGAGGTGGCCACAGTTAAAGAGAAATTCCCTTAAAGGGAAAACAGATCCAGGACTTCACAGAACAGAGAAATAATATGGAAAGATGTAATCACCCGGAGAAAACCACTTTTCACAGCCTGACTGTAGCAAAGTGGGCAGAGCTCCCGGCATTTCACCTTTTTGTGGCACTGTTTGTTGAGTGTACACATGTGTGGGTTTGTTTTCAGGTCTTTATATTTTATCTGGTCAGAGAGGCCCCTATCCCGCAAGCAAACCCCTTTAGGACTTATTATCAAAGCATTTGGAAGCCTGGTTTTGAATTGTTAGTGTTACCTTCAAAGAAGGGTAGTCCCAGTTGAATTCAATTGCCACATTCAGTTCAGTTCTTGCTGTGCAATTTAAAACAAGCTTCTCTCCAACAGACAGCTCAACTTTATGAGGGGGGCTCAGAACTACATCATAAATCCTATACCCTGGAGCAAGTCAATTGAAAAAATAAAAAGTAAGAGGGAAAGTGAACCTGTAAGTTGCCACAAATTATTTTAAAAGTGATACAATTTTTAAATGGGCCATCTCCCTTTCCCTGAAGATTTCACCAATACTTGGTAGTTCTTAGGAAAATGGGCTACAGAAATTTACAAAGCACTTCCTTCAAAGATGTTGAAGCCCATTGGGCAGAGAATTCCAGTGGTTTGGAGACCTAGACCCTTTAAAGGGGTCAGCTTTAGCAAATGGATGAACTGTCCATAAAATAACTGTGATTAAAAGAATTGATACCACGCAGTGTTCTGAACATTGAATTTCTCATAAAATTTGCTCCAATAATACAATTTTTTTTACTCCTTGGTCTAGGCAAGAAAGGAGATAAGTCCAATTGCACTTGGGTTTATCTGGTAGAGAAGAACAGTTGGGATGAATTGCCAAACACTATATCCTGAACTAATGTGTTTTTCAGGACTTCTGTCCTTGACCCTCTACCTCACTCTCCGGGATCTTCATGCAGGGAGTCTTTCCTTACGGTCTGACATTAATGACAGGAAAGAAGCCGTCCTCTCACCTACAGTCACAATGATGTACATGATAGACTGGTAACTTTCATCATTAATCTTGGCTTCACAGAAGACCATGCCTGCATAGCTGATCATGTAGCTGGGAAGCGTAAAGCCCTTCTTGCTGTCCCAGGAAATCCTGTTACCATCAGGAACAAACCTCTTTTCTGGATACCTCTGGGTAATAAAAAGAAATATCAACTATTTACTCCAGTACCCCAAATGAAGGCCATGTACAATGATCACTAATGCGTTTACATTATTCCTAAGAAAACAAATTGGTTTTATTCATTGTCATCTGACTCCTCCTAAAGCATCTTTTCAAACTCATTACAGATACCATATTTTAAACAAGTTACTCATCTTCATATTAGTACAGCTTAAAATTATAAAAACTTGAGAGATGATTGAAGCTGACATAACTTACCGCACAGAGGGACACATTGAGGTTTGAAACGGACCCAAGACACGGAATCACCACAGTTCTGTTTTTGTTTTCAGTAATGTACACAATCCCATGCTGGTCACTAACAGATGCAATAAATGGAGATCTGTAATCTGGAAGAGAATTCAGTTCCATTCGTGAATTAATGGCATTCCCTAGAAAAACTGGTCATCTTTCACATTGTCCAGCCAGAGACGTGAGAGATTGGAAATGGCCCTTCACACAAGCAAAGGCATCCGCGGGTCGGTCTTCTGGTAAACTTGCAGCTCTGGCAGTGCGCATGCACGTGTGCATCCGCACAGATGGAAAACGTGAAAAAAAGTCCTCCATATTGAGATCGCCTCTTTTACAATGTTCATCAAAAAGCAGAATATATTCTATAGATCCCACGCTTTAACAGACTGGTCATTATAACTCTTTTCAAAATTTACTTAAAAAATTTTAAATTACGCATTTTATTGACAAGTTTTACTGATGTTAGAAAAATAATCATGCTCTCTCGCTGTAGGCAAATAACATAAGCACCATGAAAATAAATCAAGGGATCTCAACGGATCTGTAAATCAGCAGGAAATGGCTAACAATTTTTGAATTCAGTGATGTTTACGAGAACATTTTATGTGGGCATATGAAGATTGTAAAGATCAGAGGTACAATTCTTTGTAAAATAATATTTAACAGTTATTGGGTTTAAATTAAAAATTCAGGAGTCATTAATGTCTCTGATGGCAAAAATTCAAAAAGCCACTATGCCAAAGACTGAGAAGAAAGCTAAAGCAATGTTAAGGTCATTTAATCATGATTCATACATGGCTAACCCAGGGCTGGGAACCACTCCACTCCTGCAGACAGAGGTGATGTGGTGTGGACTCATGCCTGGAGGCTCAGAGAGGTGACATTGTACCTTGCTGCACCCAACACAACTGATGTAATATTTTCCCAGCATTTCATGATGGTTGTCAGTCAAAGAGAAGAAAGAGTTAATTAAACAAAAGGGGAGAAAGGCAGCTAACTCCCTGCACCAGCAGAAGTCTGATTTCCTTCCCAGCTGGAAAGCACAGAAAAGCAGCCAATCTAGCCCACCACATGCCACAGCCATTATCTTATGAAGCCAGGGCCCACTTCCTGGCTCCATCCATTGCTGGGGAATGGGGTCAAAAGATGAGGGAAGTGAGGTGGAGACCAGAGGGGACATTAAAGGCCTGTCCATAGGGAATACTTTAGTGTTTTTTTCCCATTGTTAAACTTCATGACTAAAATTTCAGATAGTCCAAGTACTAGAACTTACATAAAAAGGCTTACATTAAAAAGGAGCATTTACTGGTATCCCCAAAGACAGGTAGTATATAAACACAGGGTGCTAGAGATTGCTACTTCTTAATATTGCCTACCTTTCATCCACATGTTTTGAAAAATTACATAACTTGCTTACAAAGTAAGACTTTGAAAGTTAAATTAACCCTTTGACGTAAAACTGAAGCTATTCAGTAAATCAGTTCTATTTCAGTATCCCAGAAAAAGGAAACAAACAAAAGAAACCCAAACAACCACCCATCCTCTCAAAATAAAATATTTACTGTAACTCCTGAAATGAATTTTCACATGTCTCCAAGTTTCCTGACTTAGGGAGAAGGAAATAACGAGATATTATGGGAGAGGTTCATCTTGTAGTATTTCCAGACAGGCTGAAAGCAGGAAATCCTTGCAATCTTCTGAGAGAGCCTCATCTCCCAGGACTGCCAGATCAAAAGGAGCCAGAAATTCTCCAAGATCTGAGCCTTGTCTCTTTCAAATCCTGCAGAGGGGAGGAGGAGGGCACAGAATTCTGTCTTAGACTATGCATACTCTGGGCAAAAATGATTCTCAAACATTGTGCAATCCATGAGGGACACAGGTCATTTTGATGATGTCTCCACTTTCCACTATAATGATCGATCTGTTATCAAAATGTAAGTGGAGATAGGTAAGAGTATTTCCCGAAGCTGATGAAATTCCTGTTCTTTAAAAGTTGCTTTTGGCAAGTCATCCTCACCTGCCTTGAATTCTCAAATGGATAAATAAAATGTTTTTAAATGTTAATCATCACTGAAAAAATAATCAAGTGTATTCCAACAAAATATGACGCAATGATTACACTCCCCAAAATTATTTGATAAATATCTCATTAAACGTAACTCAGTAGGTTTTCAACGGAAAAATAACATAGTGTAAGACTTTTGAAACACAAAAGAAAGCATCATTCATATTCTAAATACTGCATATGTGTAACATTGCATTTTATACCATACTGATCTTAAATCAGCCTCCACCATGTCAATCCCTTAGGAAGATCTGCATATCATCCATGATTCCAGACTGAACAAGAAAGGGAAAAGAACATTGTTCTCAAGAGGCCTTTTGAAGCACACAAGTATAAAAATTATTTTTTATAAAGTATAAATAAGAAAAAAAGTCCCTATGAACAAAAAAACTCCAGAGCCTTTAGCAAGAATGCTTCCCTATGCATTCTTGGGGAAATCTCCTACTCAGCTGCAGATAACTTATCTCTTTACAGAAACCTCTCCATAATTCACCCCTGAAACTTCCTTGATTTCAAGAATTTCAGGTTTTCTTCTTAAACATCAGAAGGCTTTTAATAAGTCTCCATGGCCAATGGTCAACATAGATTCACCCTACAAAGACCAGAACCAAACCAACTGGGCAGAAGAGAGGCAGGCGGGCAGGGGCCAAGTCTCTGAGAACCAGTCGGGAGCCTCATTTCTCGATGGAGGAAGCCTCAAGAGAATTTTGCATATTCCAGTTGGCAAGCAGCCTTCAGAGCAAGCCTTTTGTTATGCTTTATTCTTCTTTGCGCCTATTGTGTTTCATAATTGGTAAACTGGCGTGGGAAGGGAGTTCTACACACCGCTTACCTTGAACATAGACATAGATGACGGAAGCCAAGTCAGCTTCCCGGTAGAAGCACTTGTAGGCTCCAGTATCATTTCCGATCACTCTGGGGATTTTAAGTGTCTTACAGAAGAGGCCATCACTGCATTCTGTTATCTCCACCCTGTCCTCAGTGCCACTCTGATTGTTGGGCCAAAGCCAATCCAAGTCCTGCTGTCCCCTAAAAAATTAATTCCAGGGAGGAATTAATGTGAAGCACCCCACTATGAGGCTATCTCTAAGAAAACAGAAGATTTGGTTCTCAAACTTTATACAGATGCTTTAACAGCCAGATTTGAAGCCTTCTAACAACAATGACAGGTTGGCTTAACATGTGGCCAAAAGCCATAGGCTCAGCTTCAGAAGTCACTTATAGAAACCCCTGAGTATTCTAATAATCAATGCATTCTTTCATTCAAATACTAAGCATCTACTATGAGCCAAATATTTATTGTTAATGACTGGGTATACAGCAGTGAAGGAATTAGACAAAACTCAAGACCTTTGTGGAACCTCAGTCTAATTGGAGGAGACAGATAATTAAAAAGTAAATAAAAGTTTTGGTATAAAAGGTGATGTTTACTCCTATGGAGAAAAATATAAAAGATGAATGAAAGGGTGGAGAGTTCTGAAGGGAGAGCCTTGATGAAGCTAGCTGTATGGACACAGGGTCCCACGCAGAGACCAGTCAATGGAAAGGCCCAGGGAGGGTGACCACCTGGTGTATTAGGAGAATGGAAAGGAAACCCAAGTAGCCAGGCCAGAGTGAGCAAGGGCAAGAGTAAGAGGTGAGGTTAGGAAGTAAAGAGGTGGAACTAAGAGCCTTGTAGACCTCGTAAGGCCATGTTTAAAAACAGATCACTTGCACTGCTGCAGCTCTCTACTTCAGGAAGGGAGGGCCCCAAGGAAGATGGTCGACACCAAGAAGAACATGACATTATTGGCACTTCAAAGAACTCCAAGTCCCCATGAAGTTACAGCTCCATCAATGAAGTTACTTTTAACATACTCCATAGCCTTTTCAGAGCATGAGAAAAGTTTATGCAGAGTTTTAGAAGGGAATGTGAATTATTTGGATACTAACCCAGCCTTTGTTAAACAGCCTTTGTTTTCAAGGGCAGGTTAAAAGAGAATCTACTGAGAAATGCGTCTTAAACTAGTTAAGCTAAAGATTTCACACCTGTTCCTGTGTTTCTTTACCGAAGAGCTAGGTATCCCTTACAATATGTCATCTAAAATATTAACAGATCTGCGACAGTCTGCTGAACACTTGGTCCTCATCGAGCATGAAGCAATGGTTCTTTTGGCCCCCGCACCCCTCTTGGATGACAGCATCACTACACTCATCATGATCTCTGCCCAAAGCACACCAGTCCTGAGAAGCCTCCAACTCCCTCACATACGGCTACTACATGAGACCCCAAGATCGTCTACCTTCCCTTTTGAGGCAGGGGCTGGAAGGCACAATTTAAAGTCCTCTTCCTCTTGTCAAAGAGCTCTGTTTCCCCAGTTATCAAAAACCAACACCACGACTTCTTGTTAGCAAATGTGAGGAGCGATGTGCCAGAGCACTGAGCCAGAGGGCGGTGAGCTGCACAGAACAGTGCAGTGAGATTATCATAAACATTAAGTGACTATGGCAGTCAGAATTTTACCATGAAATCAAGTTCTTGGAAAGGGCTAAAAAGGTGTCCCAGAGTCATACTGAGTATAATAAATATGGCCCAAAACATCTCCAACTTGATTCCTTCTGGTCATTCATTCATTCAGTATTTACTGCGTGTCTGTTATATGTCAGGTGTTATACCAGCACGCTGGATGTGTGTGTTGGCAGGGAGCAGTAGGAAAAAACACCAGCAAAGTAATACAAAATTTTTGAGAGAAGACCTTTCTTATTTTTTCATTATTATATTAGTTACTTATGAACAATTACTACAATTTGATATAACTCTTCTGTATTGGAAGTTATTTTCCCTCAATAAACAATGAGTCATTTAACACAGGAAATCTGAATCTAGAATGAATCCTTACCTGCAATTAATCTGAAGAGTTGTATTGGCCATAATTGTAAGTATGTCTTTTTCTATGCTGAGCTTGGGTGGAGCAAGAGAAACACTAGGCAAACCTAAAACAAAGTAAATAAATGAGTGTAGTTGCCACTGAGTTAGACCCCATAGGAAACACCTTCCATAAACAATGCACACTCTATACTTTAAAAGACCTCTTCAGCAATTCAGTGTATAAAACTGGGAATTTACTTTTCACCATTCTCAGTAAAAGTTCACAAGCTGTGTCATAACAGGAAGAATGGGCAGATGGTCACAAACCAACACAACAGTTCTGCAATTCATGGAGCTAGGGTGGAGTTCCTGTTTTCCTGCATTGCCAACTTCAAGGTCTTACAAAAGGATATGGGACATTGAAACAAAATGAACCTTCATCTGATGATCTCACTCCCTTGGGGAAGGACCCACTGACATTTCTTATAAAACATAGGATGCACACATTTGACTAAATTGCTGATTAATGAATACTACTTAGCGAGATTTCTATACAGTTCACCTATGTACCCTGAAGGGCTGAGAGAGTCTATGACTTTGTCTCACTTTCCTTTATCAATTTTCTAGTGTACTTCCTCTGGCAACTGAACTGTTGAGGTTGAAATAATGGTTCGTATAGACTGTACATTAAAACTGGGGCGGAGGAATCAAGGAAGAGATAACATTTTCCAAGTTCGTACATATATTCGTATCAACATACTTTTCTTCAGAAAGCAGTACTAAAAAAAAGTGTAATGCTAATGAATTTCAACTAGGGACTCTCACCTTACTTCAACTAGGGACTCTCACCTTACTCATCAAAGCTCTGAACTCAGGCTTGGCACCTGTGGCTCAAGCAGCTAAGGCACCAGCCACATACACCTGAGCTGGCGGGTTCGAATCCAGCCCGGGGCTCGCCAAACAACAATGATGGCTGCAACCAAAGCTCTGAGCTCATCTTGACACCAAGCTTGGAATACAAGAAATCTGACTTTACCTAAAGGCTAGAAAGCCAGAAAAAATACTATGGGATAGATTCCTTCCTCACCATGGTCACAGCAAGGTAACTGAGTTCTTTGGCAGCTAAATGTGAAGAGCTACCAGCTGTTGAAAAGGCATCAGAGAAAGAAACCCTGTCCAATGTGCTACGGTCTTAACACACATCAAAATGCTCAAAGCACCAGCTTAGAAAGCAATTGATGCTGGGCAGGCACCCAAGCTTTCTAACTCACATCAACTAAGAACAAATGACTCTCTAGACCAAAACTGGCATTGCCCTTGTTGGACAAATAAAATAGTATGAACAAACATGGGCAAATATGAGACAATATAAATGAAGAAAGTCTAAGCAAACATCCAGGGCACTGAGTCTGTGGGCCCCAAGGTGCTCACACCTCCACTGATGTGCACAAAAGGCTCCTGACACAACTGTGGATTTCTTGATCAATAACACAGGTTTTTAAATAAGAAACCTAGAATCTAAGTTAGATCAACAAATCTCAGAAACTAATTGACTTTGAGACATTAGTAATGACATGTTGTGTTTGTGCAGTGGTTCTTAAAACTTCAGGCTGTGTCGGAATATCCCTAACCCTATAAATCTGCATTTCAACAAGAACTTCGAGCATCCTTATCACACATGGTCCACTGGCCACTCTCAGGGAGCTGCTGGTCTTGGTAGTCAGTATGAAGGAAATAACTGACCTCAAAAAAGGAAACAAAAAAAGCCAAAATGTTTAAAAGCCACCGAATAATGGAGTCCTACTTTGTTTAAGAAAAGGAAAATAAAAATTCATTTGAATGAACATGGATTTCAGACTTGACCAGAAACACAAGGCTGAGAAACCTGTTAAATCACGACAAACAATTCAGACAATAATCCAAATGAGAACGGAGCCTTCGGACGGCCACATTCATGGGGAGGAAAGATGGTAGTAAAATGACTCTCCATTAGCAAAGCCCACCCAGCCCCCAAAGTAAGTGACTCCTGAAGGTCCCTAAAAATTATTGTCACAGACCTCAGACTCTAGTCTCAGCCCGCTGCCCTCTGTGCTTTTTTTTTTAAGAGACATGTTCTTCATTCATAAGAAACTAAGACACAACCGTACGATCCCAGAGACACCTCTACAACAAAAATCTACTCAACAAGGCTATGAATGTTAACTTCTTGTCTGTATCTACGCACCAACACTCAATTTTTTTTGCTCCATCAAACTTCATTCATTTTCACGGGCAAGCTTGAGGTCTACTCTGAAAAGTTCTAAAGAAATAACTGTAAGAGGTACATATGCTGCTAGTCAATAAAAAGCCTTTCTATGTTCAAATCCCACAACCAATATTAATTAATTTGGGCACTGTTCTCCTTCTAGATCAAAGACTGGAAGGAAAAACAACAGTGCCTCTTTCTCTACAAATCTGATGGCACAATTACAGCCCGATCCAATTAAGCAAGTAGCACACTCCACAAGGCAAGCTCACTGTCACATTCAGGGCACCCTGGATGAGCACCACTGCCCACCTCCAAACACCCCAGGCTGAGAAGCAACTCACTTCTCTGTGGAACACGGAACAATCACATGTCCCAGGTCTTCATTCTCTTCCCATAAAGGGGGAGCAAGAGTCCCTGTGAGGGACAAGTGGTGGAGCTGGCCCTGGTGAACCAAGTCATTATTAAGAAAATTCAGGAACTGTGGACACATGATCTTGGTACCCCATGCAAATGACATGGTACCCCATGTCTTTTAAGACCTGTGATTCTTTTCTTCTGACACAAGGATTTTTTTCCCCCTTGAATTATTTGACTTTTTTTTTTTTCTTTCTCTGACCCTCTTCCTCTCTCACACTCTAAAGGATGAAAGTCTGGGAACCAGCAAACTATGGCTGCAGAAAAGTGATACCATCTGGGGAAGAAAGGGTTGCAGGACAGAATAGTAAAAGAGAGGAGAGAGGAAGGTAGGGGCAGAGAAGAGAAAAGGGGAGAGAAGAGGAAAGAGAAGAGAGAGAGAGAAGAGGGGAGGGGGAAAGAGCTATTGTATCAGGTGCCTGTGCTCCCAGCTGAAGGAGCAGAAATTTTAGGCGGCAGGGAGCGTAACCCCCAAGTGCTAACACGAGGTATCAACCCCTGCAGGTTAGGTTTACAGAGCTTTACAGCCTTTAACCAAGGATCAAAGTTCTTTGAAAGATGTTAAAAGTTTTACACAGGAGACTTGACTGTTTCTCCGAGACACTGGGGAAGTTGTCACAGCCCTGGGGACAGGCCGTAATCTCCTCTCCGAGGAGAGTACCGTCCTGCACTAAGAAAGGAAAAGCAGTGTCCCTCTCCTCCGGGCCTCGCCTCACACAGTGGGTGTGCTTGTGTGTTTGAGCCAAAAGGGAACAGCCGCCCGAGGTCCCAGCTTGTCTCAGTCCGAGGCAGAGAGGCGAGCACGGTGCGATCCCTGCAAGGCTCGGTTCCCCGCGCCAGGGCTAGGCTGTTTCGCGCATCCAGACAGCGTTTCACCGCCTGTACTCGCCCGCGGGGGCACCTCCTGCCTGCCAGCCCCGGGCGCTTTCCCATCCCCACCTCCCAAGAGCCTAAGGGTGCGTCGGCTCCGCAGGACACGCTCCAGCCGAGTCCCTGGCAGAGACCAGAGTCAGGCAAAAGCAACCGGGCTGGAGACCAGGAGAACACCGGCTGGCCAGGAAATCTGAGCCTCAGTTTCCCCAGTGGTAAATGAAAGAACATAAAGTGTCAAGTCTCTCAATTCGCCAGCTCTAAGATTCCAAGTTAGATGGTTTCTCTCCGCCCGCACCCGACCTCTCGCCTTCCTCCTAGGGAGTGGGCTCCTTACCCACAGAGGCCGCCCGGGTCTGCACGCAGAGCCACAGAGCGATGGCCAGCAGCGCCTTGCTCTCCATCCCGCACCTCGAGGCGGGCGCAGAGCCCAGAACTCGGGAGACGGTTCTTTCTCCCCACGCCTGCCCAGCGGAGGAGGCGCGGAGGTGGAACGCGCCGCCCAGCGCAGGACCCCGGAGCCCGCAGGGCTAGGGTGCCCCGGCTCCCGGCGCGGCTGCAGGGGCTTCTGTGGGTGCCTGTAGTAAAGGATTTCCCGGCTGCGGGACTGGCTCTGGGCTTTCTGTGGCCCGCGAGCGATGCTCCGCGATAGCAGAGGAAGCGCAGGAGCCACACACAACCTGCTTTCCCGGGGTCCCGGGACGCAGTGCCGGGCAGGAGCCGGAGCCAAACCTCCAGATCGCGGGGGCGGGGTCCAGGGGCGGAGCCGCGGGGGCGGGGCCTAGGGCGGGGCTCTCCGGTGCCGCCGCCCCGCCCCTCGTCCGCGCCCCGGGGCCGGGATTCCGCGGTCCCCAACCCTACGTTTCCCGTCACGCCCGGGACCGCTTCGGCCCGGAGTCGCCGAGGGGAGAACATCTGGGAGCAACAAGTCGGTTACTAGGGGGAAAGACGCAGCGGGTAACGGCTGTGAGCCACTCCAAGGTTCACCTGGTCGCTGGCTGGAGATTTGGGGAGCATGACCCAGAGCGCAACGAGGGACTCCGCGCCCTCACTAGGAGCGTCCAAGCGCGGGGCGCTCTTGGCCGTAGCGCTTGTGAGGTGGTTAGACTCACCGGACAGACGTGGACACTGAGCCGAGACGAATACAGGGTCTCACACTGGCAGGGACTCCAGCCCGCAGTTTCAGGTTTTGTATTAGTGTTTGTTTAGAGTGTTTTGTTTGGCCAGCACAATTTTAGTTTGAAAATCTGAATCTGGTTGCCTTTAATCAGAAAATACACTTGCCTGGTTCAGCAACTTTCCAGCTATTTCCCCTCCTACCCAGAGGCTTTAAATATTTTGAAGTTGGCTGCCTAAACCCCAGAAGGGTTTGGAAGCCCTGCCTGGCTCTGACCAAAAACCTAGGGCAGGGAGGTGAGCCAGGCTCGGGCGCACCTGCAGCGCGAAGGTCACTGCCCCTCAAATGAGATCTCCCATAACTTTGGCCAGCCCCTTTTCAGAGCAGAACTTCCAGCCAAGACACCCTTAGGCCGAGAAGACTTTACTGGGAGAGCAGTGACGCCCTGTGACGACTGCAGGCCTGTGTCCTCCCGTGCGGCCTTGGGAGTGGAGGGAGCTCAGATTCCTCCCTCACTCTGTCTGTTACTTCTCGTTTTCTCTCCGACTCTCCCCACGACTGGGGAATGATGTAAAATGTTCCCAAACCTCATTAAATAGGGATCTGTCTGAAATATGAATGTATATCGTTAAAACTTTTTTGGAAAAGTACAAAAAGGTTTCGAGTGAAAAGACCTTTGTTTGGCAAAAGAGGCAAGCCTTTTTACCACTCCTGTTTCCAAGCAAATTCGAAACACGTCCAGGTATATAGGTGTATCGTCTTCCTCTTTCCTCGCATGGCAGCTTGGTACAAATGCTGTTTTGAGCCTTGACTTGATCTCACTTTAAATTACTCTTTGGAAATCATTCTACATCAACTCTTAAAGCTCTACCTTATTCATAGTGACATGGTGTTCCACAGCATGGTTGTATTTACTAAGAGGTATTTATTGGGGGGAAGGGAGAGGATACTTGAGGAAACTCCTCTTTCCCCGCTGGTATATTTAGCAAATAGACCAGAATCGGCCCTGGCAGAGTTGGATAAAGGGGAGGGAGACCGAACCTGCTTTGGGGAAGGCTATTTTTCTCCATCTCCATCATCATCTCAACCTTATTTACAATTCATGACACTTCCTCTTCCGTGTCTCACTTAGGAAGATAACGTCTCCTCCAAACGCAAACCAGAACCTGCAGGCTTGGGGTAATAGCCCTGTTTAGCGGTCCTAGAGGAAATGGTCCTTCTTTGATGGCCACAGACCAGAATGCGGCAGGGTCTCAATGACATCAGCCTACCACAGTCCCTCCCACACAGCGCTTAGAAGTGCCTTGCCCTCCTAAAAAGAGGCAAAGTCTGTTGTTAAAAAAAGGTCTGTTCCCAGTGCAATGCGCTTCGTTCTCTGGCATTGCAAATTTCCGTGAGTTGATCAGACAGCACAGATAGTGCCACCATCTAGCAAAGTGCCCCTGGTGCACTCTGCGCTCCCTACATGCTATGCAGACACATTCCCTGGAGAACAGAGTGTTGGCTGAGTGCACAGACTCTGGGTCACTGCCTGGCTGGACTTATACATCTACTGTGTATTATCTGTGTGATCTCAACCCACGTGTACTGGTTATTTATGAAACACACAAAAGATCATCATAGTACCTTCTTCATGGCCTTTTAATAAGAATTAAAGGACGCACTACATGCGTCAAACAAGCACTTAAAATAGGATTCAACAGCTAGTAAGCACCAAATGCACCTTATAAAACATTCCTTAAAGGTGAGTTATGGTACCAGGCACAGGCTGCTTGACACTGCCAGGATCTACACTGCAAATTCGGCTCACTCAACAGCTTTTGAGCACCTACTACAAGCTGGCCACTGTTTCAGGAACTGGGGTTACAATAGTGAAAATAATGGCGATATGGTCTAAATGAGAGTCATCACAACAGCTTCATCCAGGACAAATCTCATCTACTCACAGATGACCCTGTGTCTCCAACTCCTTTTTTGGGCTTGTGCACACACAGTATACGTGTCACCACGGTCACCTTCAAAGTAGTCCCCTTGGCCCTCTGGTGACCACAGTACATTGTTCACATCCAAAGAACACTGCATAAAATCCAGTCTGCAGTCCCCAAATTTGCTTGCACTATCACTAGCATTTTGGACTTCATATCTTAACAAATAAATATAAAAACTGGTAAAAGGTTAACAATTGTGGGAGTTGAATGATGGACATAAGGGTTCATTTGACTCTCTCAACTTTCACATGTTTGAAGTTTCTATGATAAAACAATTCTGTAACTAGAATCAAAGTGCTATCCAGTCCAGTATAA